CCAAATCACTGCATCTCCTAGGCTGGGGGGAGTACACAATTATCAGCTCAGGGCTTAGGGGCAAATTGCAGGATGTAGCCTCAAAGCAGGAGATACCCATGTACTCTGCAAGTACGTACACAGGAAGGCTCTCAGCAGTCTGCCTGATGGTCTCTTCTGTTTTGCAGGATTGCACGTGGGAGTTGTGAGTCCTTGTTCCTTTTTGTTTGTTCTTTTTGGGCTGTGTGAAGCCTTCCAGCCACGGGATGTGTATGCAATATAGAACTTACTTAAAAAACTTAAAGGACTAAGGTATGGAAGCTTTAGTCTCTGATGAAATGATTTAGTCAAAAACATAGTATGAGAAATAATATCCAGGGCGTAATGCCTTGCTGAAAGCAGAGAGGTTTAGTCATGCTAGGACAATTGGAAAAGAGGATTAATAGATGTCTTGGTTGAAGCTTTTCAAGACAGACTCATTAGTAAGCAGACAGGCCAAGTGTCCCTTGGGCAGACAAAACCTCTGCTGCTCTTGGGGAAGGACATAATGATGCCCACTTCTATTTCTAGATTTGCTGGTTGTGTATTAGACACTTGTTATGGAAGAAATGAGCATGGGTGGTTGTTTGAACTGCAGAGAGGTAAGAATTCATAGGGTTTTTCAATTGAAAGCTTCCATACAGAAGGAGGGAAAGAGAAGGCTAAGTTTTTTGATCAAGAAATAGTAGAGTTCTCACTTTTTCCTCCCTCAGTGTTTATTGGGTGGAGGGTCCAAGGAGTGTCTGTTTGGTGAATCTGCTTGCAAATATGTAGCTACAAGAGAGCGAGAAGTCACTAAGACATCAGAATCCTGTTAGGCTGGTTACTGCTAGTTTGAAAAGCCAGGCAGGTTTGGAGTTCTGCTATGCCATGCTATCCTTGTCAACTGCATCAAGCTAATTTCAGCTAATTTCAAACATGACATAAGCTGATTCTATTCTTACAGCCTGTTACTCTGACTGCATGGTTCTTTAGTAACTCAGGAAAAGCACTTGATACACAACTCTGGAAACTCGTTAGCAAACAGCATTGACCGATGCAAATTTCCCCTTCAGAACGGCCGTTTTTAGACCCTGGTGGGAAGAGAAGCTTGCTGGACTGCAGCTCCCAAGCCAGAGCAGCCTCTTCTCTCCCAGGACTGGAGAACTAGCCCAGGGCTTATGCAATCAACCCCAAGCCTTCCCCACTTGCCTCTAATTTGCCAGCTGCAGCACTAGCCAGCATGGCTCTGTAGAAAATGAGGGACATCTGCAGTGCTCTGGCTGCATGTATATGCACAGGGAGTCTCCATCTTCTTGTCACATGAGTGCCATGCTGTCTGCAACTGCAATTCTATAGCTCACTTTACTCAAGCGCTGGGAAAGGCTGGCAAAACTTTCCCTTTTGGATCTTTCCTTCTAACAGCAGTTTTTCCTCTTCATTCCCAGTTTTTAAGCACAGAAAGAGGAAGGCTGGGACGAGGGTAGTTAATCTCATGGCTGTAGCACAGGATCAGGTTCTGGGAGAGTAGATGTAATTTCTTAGCTCTACTGCAGTTCCCTGGGCAATCTTGAGCATGTCAGTCTTAGTTCCCCATCTCTAGACTGGGAGCAGTATATTATAGTTTGTGAATGCTCCCGCATTTTTCTATGGTCTTTTTTTTCTGAGTTACTTAAGCAGGAACTCAATGTAAGTGCAAGAGCATGACATGAGATAACCCGATGTGCTCAAAAGAACTCTGGAATGTACTGTAATTAAAGGAAAAAATTAAATAGTTTGAATATTCTCTTAGTTTTGGTTATTTTTCATTTGATGTTTTCTACATTTCAGTCCCCAAGTGGAAAGCGAGCATCTTGTCTAGATTTCTAGTTCCTCAGTGGCCCTGCTGTTCTTTTTATTTGAGCTGACTGCAACTGCTCTTAAAAAGGGTTCTTGTTTTAGGAATTGCTCCCTTTTGGAACAGCAAAGTCCAAGTTTTGCAGATTGAGTAACCTGATTGACCTGTTTTATCATAGACATCTGGTTCCAAGATGATTTCACATAGGAAAGAGAAGGCAAGAGGGAGATGAGACTTCCAGATTGTTCCAGGCTTTTACTGAGTCTTGTCAATTTTCCTTATTTTAGATATCATAGGGCAGTTTCCATGGGGTGCTACTTGGAAACATGCATTATTTCCTCCAACAATTATTAGGGGGAAATTATAATTGCCTATAGAAATCATAGAAAAAGCTACTTTCAAAAGGAAAATCTGAGTGAAATCCCCAGGCACTGGCCACATACTCAGGGACAGATGAGGATAATTATATTGTTGAAGCATTTTACATTGTCTTGCAAATGTCCTGGCCAAAATATAGCAGTGTGGGACAATGGGTACTTTGAGTTCTTCTTGTCTGGCAGTTAGTGTGGTGTTTCACACATACTCCTGTATTTAGAGTTTTTCTTAAAGTAGGTTCAAGTTAACAGTCTCAATTTGTATCTGTAGAAAATCAGTCCTGAATAAAATACCTGTCTGTCTCATAAAATGGGTGCCAGCCAATTAGTACTTCTTGCAGGTTCAGCAAAATATTCTAAATAGCTTTCATTATTTTAGTGCAATTTCCTACTTTCAAATAGGTCTGGAAGTGACAGCTCCACTATAATGGTCAATTCCGTTGGTAGTTTAAGATCAGAAGAGCTAGCTTATTCTTATGAAATTTGAGTTGTTGTTTACTTTGTGCTTTTAAAAATATACATAATTGCTGGGGGAGAGTTCACAGCTACACTGGATTCACAGCAATTGGCCTCCTGAGAGTGAAAGGAAAAATTGGCTCAGGGAAGGATCAGCCCGGAGGTAAGAGGAAAACAGGCTGTTTTTCATATTTCCTGTCTTTATTTATATATATTTTTAAAGCAAGATCCCACATAAGCTGTTTGACAGGAAAATCACAACTTGTGCTGCCCCTGGAAAAAGACACACAGCTTGGTTGGTTTGGGAATGTTTGCTGTTCAGCTGGTCATATCAATGCCATTCTGTGCAGTCTCAGTCTCCCCTCTGACTAGGCTTCCTCCCTGTGGGTGGTGGGTTTTATGCCTACCAGGTTGTGCCACTGGTGTCTCTCCTCTCTGTCAGCCAGTATTTCAACAGTGTCACAACTGTTTTCTCTCTGGCTTGCACAGGACTCCTTCAGTTCTTTCTTGGGCACTGGATTTATGCCTTTGTTTGTGGCCTGAGGTTTCTTCCTCAGGCAGTTCCTCTTCCAGCATCCCCCCAGAATAGGATTTTACTCACCTGACACTCAGGGGCTGAGCCAGTCTCTCATTTGCCATCAGGATGAGATATGTCCAAAAGGTCTGAATTAAACTCCCCCAAATTGTTAGGGATTTGCAATTCCGTTGTGAATCCAGTGGGAGGTATGTCCTACAGAAGTTCGGTGTCCTTCAGTCCTTGTACCTTCCTGTCAGTTTTGCTTGAGAGTAAAGTGTGCCTCAGATTTTGTTTGCTCAGTTTCCAGAGTCACAGCAAACACAGTTTAAAGGAACAGCTTTCTCTTTACCCAGATAAGTTAGTACAAATATGCCCTGAACGTCCTTTGCACTGCTTGTGCCAAGGCTTAATGACAGGGGATTGTTAAACCTCCCATATAAATCTTTAACAACTGGGCGAAACTTCAGTCCAAATCTGCAAACTCAAGTGGAAACAGTAAATAGTATTTGCTTCCATTTTTAAGGCCCACTGGATGAGAAACTGCTCTTGCTTTACATTATTTACAGCCATTTGAGATGAAAAGACCTACATGTTTATGACTATTTTTAGATTGCCATTTCTTAATTTCACGTGTGTTCACATACCTGGGCACTGGGGTGGATACAGCAGAGCCAGCCTGGTTTCATTTTAAGGCCTTTTGGATCAATCCAAATGACTCTGATAATTTTCCCTCTTGAAATAATTTGTTATTACCAGATTACTTGCTTGCTGTGATTTGAATGCCCCTCTTCTGGGGGCAACTTAGGCCCAGTGCTTCAAAGGAAGACAAATATTAGTAACTGCTAGATCATTGCTATTCCTAGGAGAGAATTTTCCCCTCATCTTTGGATAACTCACTTTGTACTTTCAAGACTGCATTTGGATTGACTCTTAGAAAAAGCATCACATAGCCTGCTGAATTCAACGCCAATCTTTCCTTTGGTTTCTGTTTTCTTTTTGAAGTTCACTGAACTTGCCACGTGTCTTGTTAGTTTCAAAATATTTTAATTGGTCACAACAGTACACTTTTAAAAATGCAGCTATATGCCCAGCCTACTCCGTGGAAGATGTTCACTGAGCTAAGCTTGGGTTAATCTGAGCTCAGACATCATGGTCACCAGTGTCAATGTCCCTTTATACCAGCTGAAGGTCTGGCCTGGCATAGAGGGCAGCCAGCAACTAATCCTGTAATGATTAATCAAGGTCACCATCAGGCCTGTGCACTCCTGGTCTGAGAGCTGGCAGGACTCAGGAATGAAGGATGGAATTTGGGCTCCTCTCTGTTGCAAGAGTTGCCTAGGGTGAGTCTAAGCTAGACTTGTGCTTCAGACTCGCTTATCTGAGTGTCCAAGCACTGCAAAGTACACGAAGCAAGGAACTACGGTTTTATTGCATTTTCCAGTCATTAAATTTCTGCAGTGACTCCTCCTCAGTGTTTTTTTGAAGGCTAAATAAATCCTGCTTCTACAATCCTCTTTTTGTATTAAAACCTCACCACCTCTCTTCATTTGCTTCTCATAGATCATGCCATTCATTTTGTTAACAAAAATAAAGTGTATTTTCTTTTTTCTTCCAAATGGGCAAAGTAAATGGAGAAATGGTGTAATGTGTGTAATAGGCAGGCTGTTTTTTGGGTGTTGTCTCACACAGGGTGCGGAAGCTTCCCTGTGACAAACCCATGACTCACCATGGAGTGCCAGAAGGGTTACAGGTCTGCTATGGGGTAATGCTGTTGTCCTTTAAGGGAATATTTTTTTATTTTGTTCATTTTTTTCACCAGGTGAGGAAATAAATTGTACTTACTGTGAGAGAGGAATCAGCAGCAGGATTCTGTGCTTAGTCCTCCTGATGGAAATCAAAACTAATGTAAGTGGAGCCAGTGGAGTGTGAAAGAGTACAAACCCAAAGAGTACCTGCTCGTCATGCCTGTTGTACCTACAGCTGATAAGGACAGTGAGGTGCTGGTCTCAAATGTGCTCAAAGGCTCTTTTCCCTAACTAGAATTGGCATTAAAAGAAAACAGTGGATGTTTTCTCATCCAGTGAACCCTGTTTCCTAAAGAGCTCTGCCATTAGCATTTGCTTCTTACATTCATAATTATTATTACTTTGGCTTTTTATTGTTTGTCATCTTTTTTTTCCTTCTTGGACAGAACAGACTTTTAGTCAAAGCCCAGGTCTGTAGGATTTATCTTCTGTACCAAGGATACCATGTTCCCCAATGCCTGGAAAGCAGCACATCATATTTTAACTTAAAATTTGCAATACTGTGTAATTGCTGCTTCACATAATCTGACCCCATAGACCTCTTGACTTGAACTACAGTTGCCTGACAACAGCAGCTACACTGTACAGCATAGCAAAACCACTGAATTACCTGAACCAGCCTTGCCTTTCTAATGATGCTGGGAATCAATGGAACCAGGTTTGAGCATTTTGCAAGGGAAATATATATTGGCAATTTTTAATGGACTGCATGTCACTCACTAGACGTACCATTTCTTGTTTTCCTGCTAATTTCTTCTCACATACGTTCATGAGCATTAGCTTCTGAATTCTTTTCCTCAGCCTCCATTTGCAGCTATTGCCGTATCTTTCCTAAGAGGTGGCACCCAGAACTGAACACGGTCCTCCAAATTCAAATGCTCCATTGTTCAGGATTCTGTCATTATATTATCTTCTGCATTATTTTTATATCCTCTTATTAAGGCACCCACACACCCCATTTGCATTTTTTAACCTTTTTAAAAACGTTTTCATTACAACAATCAGATAGAAGGGCAATGAAGTAAGTGTGGAACAATAGAAGTGAAGATTTTGATCCTCCTCAGACCTAAACCTGTTGTAAATTTCAGTGGTGACACTGATTTTGGTTTACACTGAAAGGAAAGAGGAACGATCAGGCTGTGCATGTCTACAGTGGGACATCTATTTTTGATAGTTAATAAGGAACAGTTTTGTAAAATAGTTTCAGAACACAACATGTTGTTTGGGAAAAGTACTTTTTCTTTTATCAGAAGGCTGGGGTTTTGCAAACAGAGGTCAGTGCTGTGGGCTGGAGGCTGAGGAGCAGTGCTGGAGCCTGGATGCTGGCAGTGGTGTGGTGGCTGTAGGGAAGCAGTTGTGGGGTGCCTGCATGTTGATTGTGGGACTGTCCTGCACAGGCACTGGGATTCCCTCATTTTAACCTCATAGCAGGACTAAGCAGCACATCCTTCATTTTAGGAGTAGATTTAGCCTTTCTGAACTGGTAGTTTCTGCACAGCCATGTCTGATACTGACTGGTCCTGGAGAGTGGGTCAAAGGCGGGGCACCCCAGCTGGCTGCAGGGGAATGTGTGGAATCTTACTTAGGGAGGAACAGCCATAAGGGGAGGTGGGAAGTGGCCAGAGGCAGACCTACTCTGCCATATGCCTGCTGCCACCATAGCCCATGGAACCATTGCCACCACACCAAGCCACACTTGGGACTTCCACTCAGAAGAGATGGGCAACCAGTTTTAAGCTGCAGCTGGGAAAGGTGATTTCTGTTAAACAAATGAGTGTTTATGGGTTGTCTGGCTGCAGAAGCCAAGTGTGTGACTCAGAAAATCACCTGAATAACAAGGCTGCTAGCCAGGGAGAAGAAAAAAGGTGAAGAAATCCATAAAGCAATCATTCATGTCTCGCTTTCAGGCAGACTTCACCTTAGCAACCTCTTCAATGCCTTTCATCCTCCATTAATTGAGGATTTACTTGACTCTGGATTTTCTCCAGGAACCACTGTTAAAAGTTTGTATCTGGTGGATGTCAATGATATTGTCACTGGAGGGACTTTTCCTCACACTGTTGTTTGATTCCAGGTAATGCAGTTAGATACAAATGCCTTCAGTCTTCTCTTGTGTGCCCCAGTTAAGGCCATACTTTACCTGCCCAGGTAGGCAAGGATGGTAAACACGGGGTGTGGTTTTACCATGCAGCTAATTAGATCCAATGACTAAGTGCTAGTCTGGGTTGTGTGTTTGCTCCTCCTGTCAGCAGCTTCATGCTCCTGCTCCAGCTGCAGATTCTGCTGCTTGATGGGCTCTTGCTGATGCAATCCAGGACAATGACCCAGCAGAAAGGGTTCCCTTTTTTTTCCCCTGGATTAATTTTCTGCCAGTCTCATATCCTCTGATGGCTTGCCAAGGTAAGATGAGGATTCTTGCTGGCACAGGAAAGCATACAGGGTTGCTCAAGAGAAACAGAGTAATATAGAAGCATTACCTTAATTTGGTTGCTCAGCTGATTGGTTGTAAATCCACACCTTTGCATCTTCCTATTTGGCTTGCACAGATCAACCACAACTGCCATTAAATGAGGAGACTTTTCTTACTCTTTTTCCATGAGTTGCAAGATCTGTTCACAGGATTGTTATTCTCATTCTTTCAGATCACTTCAAAGACATGAAGTGTTAATGGCAGCAATGGAAACTCAGTAGAGAAGAGAGGAAAGCAAGGGATGGAGCAAGAAATGGGATAGGAAATGGGATACTGCTGTCATCTCTGACAGCAGTAGCACAATGTAGTTGTGAAATTATTTGTTTGGGTACTGCAGCATCTGCAGGTGCTGCCTCTCAGCCAGCCAGGGCACAGCTGGGAGAAGGGATACTGCCATCCCTTTCTTCCTCAGATGTGACCTTAGGCTTGTACTCTCCTCCCTGTGCTTGGTTCCCCCCGAGTAGCTCCTTGCCTGCAGCTGCTGTGATAGTTTGGTCTTGAAACACTTCCACAGAGGCTCTGGGGACTGCACCTGAATGCATCAGCATGTCATTCCTGCATTCCTGCCTGGCCACTCCTCTGTTAATCCATTTCCTATCCAGAAAGAACTTGTTGATGGATTGGAGGTGTGTGGAGACAGAATGCTAGATTATCACAGCACCATCACCTGTTGGTTATAACAATTTTATGGGCTCTTTAGGCAAACTTTCCCAGAGCTCAGTACTCTGAGGGAAAGTGCTGGGAGTCCACATGCTGCAGCCAGAGGAACTTTGCCTTCCTCAGCACCAGGGGAGTAGAGGACCAAGAAATAAGACAGCATGCTGAACTGTATAGAACCAACAGCTGTGCCACAGTGCAGCTACCCATGCAGGTAGAAACATGCTGCTTAATTACTATGATAATGTAAAAGTCTTTCCCTATTGTTTGTCTGGCTCCCATGGAACCACCCCTTATATGCAAAACAGGTTTGCTATTTAAATGTAAGCTTGTGTTTATATGCCAGCTGATAGCGTTTCCTGGGGATCCAAGGCAGCTGACATTACTGCCAACAAAAATAATTCTGCAGGTTGGAAATTAGTTGATAAGAGTGTGGTGAGCCTCCCTTTTGTCTAATCCAGTAGGAGTGCTTCTTGGTTCTGGTGTTTCTTGACTTTTGACGTGACTTCCAGAAGACACAGAATAAAAAAGGTATTTTTTTCTTTTCCTTTTCCTTTTTCTTTTTTTTTTTTTTCCTTTTCATAACTGTGGACATTGCTAGGAATTAAAAAGGTAAATACAACATTTTGTAGGTTCAAGTAGGAATGCAGTTTGTGTATTCCTCACCAAATATATTTTAAGAAAAATACTGCTGCTTCATGTAATTCTTCTCTCCTGCTAAGAAAACCTTCACTTTAAGGCACAGGAACTACTGCTAAACTGAGCCACAACAGTTTGAAAGCAGATCCTGATTGATTGTTTAGGAAAGCATGTACTGGGGTGATGGAAAATCCCCTTGTAAATGTAGCATGACATTTTTACCACAAGAGAAACTTTCTGTTTCTAGTGTGGTTAAAAAGTTTAGTTCAGTTGGCTGCTGGATTAAAGTAATTCCAATTTTGTGTCTTTTTCAGTTTTGAATTCTGAATGTTTTAGTTTGTTTAAGGTTTATTGTTTGACAGTTTTTGCTGATACCATCTTTCTCACTATACATTGAGGGTGATTTAGTAGACTAAATAAATGTGTGTTGCTTGGCTTGTTAAGAAAGTCCATAGCCTAGATTTAGTGTAGGGTCTGGTCTAAGGGCATAAGCAGGCTGGAGATGGAGTGCTCTGATGCTGGGCTTTGGCAGAAACAGGCACAGTCATGCTGCTTAGGAGGGAGGAAAACTGCCACGCAGGAATTGCACTGTGCAGAAATTACTCTAGAAGCAAACTGGGTCTTCTATTTCTTAGCCCTGTACAACTGGAACGTGACTACTTCTGGGAGCCCTCTATGCAATATCCCAAGAGAAATGTCTTATTTCCGTTTGAGTGAGACAAGGAGTGTGTTTTGGCATAATGCTTGGTTGACTTTATACATTGTAAGTCCAGGTCTGATGCTGAGTAGAAAATGACCAGTCCTGGGTTCTTGTGCTTGCCTTGAAAAGCAGAATTTTAGTTGAGTTTTGCACTTGACTCTTTCTGGGTTTTTGATTGTGTTTTCTCCCTTAATGAGTTGGATAATTCTTTTGGAACCTATCTGAAATCATGCAAGAACAAGCTACCTGCTCCAAAGAGTGTAGAGCTCTCTGACAGGGACAAAGGCATTGAGTTCAGCATATTACCTTATTTCTGTTGGTTTGTTTTAAAGACATGCTTTCATTTCAGCTTGGTTCAGATCATGTTCAGAACAGGTTTTTACAGAAGCTGAGGCCAGTGGAAATGTTATGCTTTTTACTCTCTTTTCTTGGAGAGGATTAAAGCAAATAAACATGAAATGGCTCATCCTGCTCCAAGTCCATGTGAGCTGCCTTGAAGGACAGAAGTGGAAGGAGCAAGTACCCACTCCTGGTGTCTACCAGCACCTTTTCCTTTCTGCCACTTGGGCTTTTTCCAGGGACTAAATCCACCATAGATTCACTTGTTGACAACTGTTACTTGACTCTTCTGGAGTGCTGGAAACAGTCTCTGCTTTGGAAATCATTACAGCTGTGTAACTTGCAAATGATGAGTAATGGCTTCCTCCAGTTTAACTCCCTCTTCTCTTACTGTTTGCAGAGTGCTCATCTTTCCCTCTCTGCCCAGTCCTGCCCAGAGGTGAGGTACGGGACCTCAGTGCAGCAGCCTTCCCTCGTGCCTTGGAGAGGAATAGCAGGTAAACATCAGCCCCCCTGAATGTGATACTTTGTAAGGATAAGCCTGGAAAATAACTAAAGACTCCAGTAAAAACCAAAACGCAGTAGGGGATATTGGCTTAATGGCTACATGATAAATCTCCCTTCTCCTCACTAGCACCCTCTGTCATGCAGAAAGAGGTGACCAGCTATGTTCTTTTATCTTAAGAAAAAAATTACTACATCCAGTTCCCCTTTCTTACTCCTATTGTTCATGAAAGTACAGCTAACTCTCTCTCTAAGGTTGTTGAGTTGATACTGGCCTGAGCAATTTTTGTCTTCATGTGTACAACTCTCCAGTCTCTTGCTTCTGTTTCAGGCCTTTGTATTCCCAGAAGCTTTTTTTTTTTTTTCCAATTTAGTTCTTAGTGTTTCAAAAGATACTGCTGTGATCTTTGTCTTGTCCATGTCCTTGGGGTGTGCTGGCAGCAACACTGCTTTCTTCCTTGCAGGCCAGCCAGTGCTGTTTTAGTGAGGTTTAGGAACCAAGTAGCATCATGGACACACACATCCCCTGGCAATGTAGCCTTGGAAGGACTAGCATGTGTGATTTGAATTCCAGCAGTCCTGGAGTATAAGCATTGGAAACTCTTCGTATGGCTGTCCAGTCAATGATTTGCCAATTTTGCTTCTTTTTTATTCAGGAGGGTCTAGTTGGTGGGCATGCCTTTGAATACAGGTTGGGGTCAAAAGAAAAATCAATTCCTTTCAGTTGGCTGGACAAGTAACTAAAGCAGCACTATTTTGCTTTCTTTTTATATATATATATATATATTATGAAATTAAAGCTTATTTAGAAATCCTGCATTTTTGATTCTGTGTGAAACTCACACTGTTATGACTCAATCTCTGCATGAGAATCCAAAAGGAAGAACATAGAAAAAGCTAAATACCGACTTTGTGTGTTTAAAAAAGGATGGAGAAGTTTCTCTGCAGATGGATACATAGCATGTATATATGTGCATGCAGCCATATAATACCTACACTGTGTGAAGGGAGTGTGTGTACAAAAGTATACACACACTCACACTTATCTCTGTCTGGTCTCTGGATAGATGGAAATGTCACTTGATTCCAGTATTTTCCTTGATTAAACTTGCTGTGTCCAGGAACCTCAGGCTTGTTTCTATGGCAGCTATTCCCAGTTCAGCTATTTCCTCAATCCCCATTTGGCAGTAAGTGGAAGATGTTGTGACACTCACAGTGAGCATGTCACAGGGGGCTGAGAGTGTGGGCAGAGCTGTGTGCAGGTGACAAGCTCAGACAGGAGGGACTCGGGAGCAACAGGCTGCAGCATGGCTTCCTGTGGCACCAGTCTCTTGGCTTTCCATCAAGGGCTTCATGGATCAGCCCAGATTTCTCTCTCTCTCTTTCTTCTTCTTCTTCTTTTTTTTTCTTTTTTTTTTCCTTTTTTTTCCCCCCCTTCCGTTTCTTTTCCTTCCCTGTTGCCCTGCTCTGAAGAAGGACTGTAAGATCAGGATGGCATTATGAGCAGAACACTAGGGAACCTGTGCTGCACTAGACAGGCTGACTAATCTCCCTTTAAATAATCTCCCTTTAAATAGTCTGGAAGCACACTGGTGAGTTTCTCTTTCAGGAGCCATAAATAGCCAGATCCATGCTGGTAAGTAGCAAACAGCACAGTTATTTGTTCTAGGAAGGTCTTCCTATTTCCTTCATGTTATTGCATGGATAGCTGTGATCCAGTTCTGGTAACACTCTGTATGGTAGCAGTGCTGCTGCCTTTCCTCACACTGCTCTATCTTCTGTGACAGTGAGGAGGGAGCAGCTGCTCTGGGAGACTGACTTCCCTTTCCAGTGCCTTTGGATCAGAGTGGCAGTGGAGCTGTGGCTTGCTGTGGATTGTACAGCTGGCTTTAGCTAGAGCAGTGCACTTCAGACCCTCCTGAGAAGTGCTGTGAGTTCAAAAAATCACTGATATTTATAGTACCTGGAAGGAGAACGCAAGGAATATCTGAACACTTGCTGCCTAGCTATGGACCTGGATAGAATGGAATGTATGGTCCTGTGAGCTAGCTCGCCTTGTGCGTCAGACTTGTCTGGAGGATAAACTCAGTTTGTCTGTGTTTTCCTAACTCAGGAATAAATGCTGTAAATATATATATATATATATATATATCCAAGTCTGTGTTAGTTAAGCTGGCTAATATAATCTTCTTAAAGATGGAAGAATGCAAACTATTCTTCAGGTAGGTACAAGCACTCTGCATTTGCCTCCATATCTGGTCCTGAATTATCAAGGCAGCCTTCAAGAACATCAGGAGCTCATCCATGTCCAGTAGCTGCTGTAGCACTTATCAAGATTTAGGTAAATAGGAGAATCCTCAACGAAGAGGGCAGCAAGTCTTGCCTCAGTGAGGTAGGAGGCATTTGAATTTCTTACTCATAGTGTATTGTCATCTTCTTCCTGCCATTCTACCCACTCAATGCGTCAGAGATCTAAGGCTTGATTTTTTTAATATTTATTTTTCTTTTTTTTCTTCCCCGCCTTCTCTGCTGAGCAGGGAATATCCAAGCCTTCAGTTTCTGGTGCATCATGTGAGAATTTTATTTTTTCCATTTATATTTCTTTTCTTTCTCATTTTTTCCCCTATATGTTGAGACACTATTCCCTTCAGTTGTCTCACTGGTGCAAGGGGACAGACAGCCAAGCAGGTCTGAGGAGGGGAAGGCCTAGCTGTTGAGACACTATTCCCTTAATATACTGGCTTTTTTACTGGGGTGAGTTGTCTCACTGGTGCACGAGGACAGACAGCCAAGCAGGTCTGAGGAGGGGAAGAGAGGATATGTGGGGGCATAGCACAGACCAGTTACACAGAGGCATTGTCCCTCATATTTGCTTTCCTTCATAACATTGCTATTAAGTCATTGTAAAGAGGACAAGGTTTCTGCCTGGTCACATCCCAATGATGTGACACCATTCAGACTGTTTTTTGATCTTATGGAAGGAGGGTGTTCTTTTCCTTTCCTTATTCATGCTCAGTGCTTGCCATCCTCAAACTGGGACACACCTGGGGCCAGGGATTGGCTCAGTGTGTCATTTATATGGGATTTTAAGCTCATATTTGGCAAAGCGGAAGTTCTGTGCAACCTCAACAAAGAAATGAATGGTCTTCTGAGGAAAACTACTACAATGTCTTATTATCAACAGTCTTCTGAATTAGAGTAAACAGAAACAAACAAAAAAAACCAAAAAAACCCCAACCCAGTCTGTGCATTTAATTAAAAAGACAAAACAAAACACAGCTTTTTAATTAACTTTATTTGGTGTACTTACCTTGCGACACTCCAGTTGCAACCAGGCTGTTCCTGGGGTAAGTTGGGCCTGAGTTCCAGCTACTGTGCTATGCAAAGGTTCTCTTTGGAAAAGCAGAAGGACAATACAAAGCTGAAAGTAGCTGAAAGTATATTTCCATGCCCGACAGGTCCCACTGAGCAGAGAGAGCAAAGAGTAGTGGAATCTGCCCCATGACACTTTGCTGGGTCAAAATGCAGTGTGCTTTGTCCTCTTTCCCCTAGCCTAGCACAATGGCTGCGTTCCCTGTCCTGGGGCAAGAAACATTGTTCCGGAACGGCACCTGGAGCTATCGAATTCCAGCCCTGCTCTACCTGCCGCGGTTCAGCATGATCCTGGCCTTTGCTGAGGAGCGAGAGGACCTGGTGGATGAACATGCCAAGCTGATAGTCATGCGCAGAGGCGTGTACGACCCAGCCACGCAGCACGTTCAGGTACCAGTGCAGGGTGGAAATGGGACACTGCCCCCTGTTTGCCCACCTGCCCTGAGGAGTGGAATGTATTCGCCCTCTTGCTGTAGGGACAGGCAGCTTCTCCTCCCAGGTACAGGAGACAAATCTGCCTATAAATAATGCACGTCTTGTTATAACTGCTGGGATTCAACCCTATTCAGCTCTTGGAGGGACTAAAATGGAGTAAATATTCTAGGGGTGGCTTTGACCCATCATTGCAGAGCTGGGGATGCAGATACAGAGATGGGACTCAAGTCCTGTTGTAGCAGGAAAAATGTGATGGAGAGGCAGAAATGCCTCAAGGAAGAGGAAGAACTGCCACAACAATGGGGAGGAGTAAATTAGCGATCAGTGACTATTCTTTTTTTTTAATTCATCATTTTAGGAGTAATTTCTGGTTTAAAAAACAATTGAGAATAGTTAGTCTCTCCATGCAAAAAAAAAAAGTGTCTGCTTTGCTGGTGCCAGTGAATTGGCTACCTTATTAACCTACCAGTTATTATTAACAGTTATGCTGCCGGGCGGCTGGGGGTGGTGGAAACTCTATTTATAATATTTTTTTGCATATGCAAAGGCATAAATGTCTTGGGGAAAAAAAAAAGTAATTATATTTTTCTATTCCAAACCTTCGTTGGTTGTCTTAGATTATAGGCTCTTAAGAGCTGGAGTCTGCCTAGCAGAAGCAGCCTCTGAGCCCACCTGCAGTGTCATACCATTCAGGTAACATCTTGTGTGACTCCCTATAATTCAGTTAGTGGGGTTCAGTTGGTCATAAACTTAGTAATTTGTGTTCACATGCTAGAGTTTCTTAAAATGGAAATACTAAATTTTCAATAAACGTTAATATTAGTTGGATAGAAAAAGATAAGATATGAACAAAAAGGCTAATCAGCAAATCAGGGCAGAAAAGCTAATTAATATAATCTTACTGAAAACTACTGCTTTGCTTACCAAGCCAATAACACTATGTAGTCATAGTTTTCTAATTGCAATGCTAGTGTTAGAAACATGATTGCGTTATGTGCTATTCATTTGAAGAAAACAGGGATTGCTGGGTAGTTATACCAGCTCTGCGACCTATTTTCTAAGTCAGACAGCTCAGGGTCCAAATCCCCACACCAGAGTCACCTAATCAGCCCTAGCAGGTTGCCTCATTGTAGGCTGGGTTGTCTGTTCACATACATTCACATCACAGTGGAGGAACAGGAGCCCGAATGAACAGGGATTTTTCATCATCTAGGATGCTTGAAAAGGGTTTGGGTTTCTCTGTGACTTCCTAAAAAACATTGACACACAATACCTGTGCTAGCACACTTTGACCACTGGGAATGTCTGTGTACCATATATATATGTATTCGTGAGGATTTCTAAAAATTCAGCCACTGTCATCAGTGGCCCAAAACAAGGGGGTCATCAGCCACCAGCTGCATTGAGATATGGAGCTATCAGTTCCTCAGGGAGTAGTAATTGAAAAGGACATAACCCACATGCTTGGTGAAGTGTACATGCTTCATGTCATCAAAATAATTTTCACTTGCCTTTGTGATGCTAGATTATTGTCTTCCCATTTCTTGCTCTCTACATTATCTTTCTTCTGTTCTTCCTATGCTCTTCTGTAGCTTTTATCCAGACATCCTTGCACTATAATGTGGGTCTGTTTGTAACAGTGTGTTCCATTCTTGTCTCCCTTCCCACGGGCTGTGGCAGTGGAAAAGAATGGAGACCCTTGTCAGTGCACAGCTGGAAGGCCACCGATCTATGAACCCCTGCCCAGTATATGATGAAGTCTTGGGGAAACTCATCTTGTTCTTCATAGCTGTCCCAGGAAAGATCTCTGAGCAGCATCAGCTGAAGACAAAGATCAACCTGGTACGTCTCTGCTATGTCACCAGCATGGACCAAGGGCGCACCTGGAGTGCTGCCCAGGATGTCACCGACAGGACCATTAGGAATGAGTACAAGAACTGGGCCACGTTTGCGGTGGGGCCAGGTCATGGATTACAATTGCTCAATGAGGCTCGGAGCCTTGTGATCCCTGCCTATGCCTATCGTATCTTGGACCCCAAGCAACACCCCACCCCTCATGCCTTCTGCTTCATCAGCTCCGACCATGGGACAACATGGGAGAAGGGGAACTTCGTGGGGGAGGAGAGTGCAGTGGAGTGCCAGGTAGCAGAGGTGCATACCTGTGGCAGAAAGGTCCTTTATTGCAATGCAAGGAGCAACAGGGGAGCCAGGATCCAGGCTGTCAGCTACAACCATGGGCTGGACTTCGAGGGGGGCCAGCGGGTTGAAATGCTAATAGAACCTCCCTCGGGGTGCCATGGAAGTGTTACTGCCTTTCCACCTCCCCCGGATGCCAGATGTCAAGACAGTTGGTTACTCTACGTTCATCCTACAGACCCAAGGGGTCGAAAAGATTTAGGAATTTACCTCAACAAAAGCCCTTTAAATCCAGCACACTGGACAAAACCCAGCATACTTTTCAAGGGCCTGTGTGCTTATTCAGATCTGCAGTACATGGGCGTTGGGCCTGATGGCTCACCTTTGTTCTCCTGCCTCTTTGAATATGGGACCCACAGACAATGTGAAGAGATTATTTTTGTCATGTTCACTTTGAAGCAAGCCTTTCCCTCAGAATACTGAGTCTCAAGCCTTTCCATCAGCATCCCTCCAAAAACCACCTTTGCTGATGCTTTTACTGTCATTTCTCATCCCTCAGCAAAAGGGAAAACAAAACTATGCTGCACACATAGTTTGGTGTTGGCTTGTTGTGTCTGTAGATTGTGAAGTCCATTAAACATACCACAACTTAACACATTTGGTTTTGTTTTCTATTGCATTTTTGCCTTTCTCTTTGGCTGCTTTTTTACATCTCATGTGCCCAAAACAAGTGTGACCTTTGTATAGGGCTTCTCATCTTGAGGTCTCTGATAGACTTCATGAGGGACACGTGTGCTGACAGCACAGGGACTGCAAAGGAACAAATGGCAGCAAGGTTATGCTGAGTGGTATTTAGTAAGTTGTGGAGAAACTTCTAAAGAGGGCACTGGGCTTACTACCCTGTATCTGCTGTCATCTTCTTCAGGAAGCTGCTTTGGCTCTGGTAAGGAGCACTGCTTCTTGCAGCCAGTGTAGGAATGCAGGCACTTGTAATTTCCAGGGCTTTCTGTCTCCTTATTTCAGCAAGGCCATGTGATGCCTTGCTCTTGGGATATTCCATGCCAACTTCTTCAGTGTTTTTGGGGCTGCCTTGTTGAGTTCTCAGGCACCCCAGAGGCTTCTGCCTAACTTAACCTTCTCCTTACTTCCCATGCTGTTTTCTTGCTTACTCACCCTTTTGCTTACACTGCATTGAGAAGGTGCAGTTTCCCATGTGTAAGAAAACCACAGCCTTGTGTGCTCTGGCTGCTCCCTCTCCCTGGGCAGTGTTAGTAGGAGTCAATGAGCACACCAGGACCCTTCCATGTTGGGGGACAAAGCAAGTGGCAAAAATGGCATTTTGCCTATATGGAAGCTGCAGGATCAGGACAGGTCTGCAGAGGGAGCTCCCAATTTAGAGTCAGGAGGGGAAGTGCTTGCTGGTCTTTCTGACACAACTGCCAAGCTATGATCCACATGGCAATTACTCTTATTGTTGACAACCCCATGTCTTGTTATTACAGAGTATTATTGGCATATGAGGCACTATGTCAAACAAATAACATTGCCCCACTTTCAGCAAAAAAAAGCACCAGTGTCAGAGGAAGGAGAACTGACCAAGGCCAGGGTAACATAAAACACTCAAGCTGGGAGGCTTTCCAATGTAGACAGATTTTCAGCAGATTTCTGAATGAAACAGCTCTAGTTTTGGTGAGAGAGACACTATTCTACTACTATACAGTGTGTTTTGAAAGGAGGCTTTATACAATGCCTAGACAAGGGACTGACCAGAAACAAATGGCTACCATGTGAGACACATCAGAGCAGATGGAGCTAGGAAAGTGTTGCCCATGCCTCTGGACAAAATTCTGCGTACGAACCAGCCTGTGCTTGTTTCCTGTGTGTTGTATCCTGCATCTATGCACATGTTTAATGACTGCAAGGAAAATGTTTGTTTGCTCTCTTGCTGAAGAAAACCTCCTGCTTTTCAGAGGTCTGTCAGAACACATCCCCTTTGGTGAGCACTACCAAGTCCCATAGGATCCTTGGCAGTCTCTGCTCATGTCCATGAGTCTCTGCTTGCACAGTGCTCCTACCCTTGCCTTTTACTACTGACAGCTTTCATGGGTGTTGGAAAAAGAGGCCCTGACTTTCCTCACTACGGAGATTTGTTTCAGGGCACCTGGATGCCACAGATACCAAGGGAGTGAAGGGATCTCGTGACCTTCACAGATACACTGGTAACTTGTCAAGCTTTTCCCAAGCAGCAGGTCAGTAACATGCTGGGCTGGAGTAGCAGAGTGGCTCAGGTAGCCAGTACTTTTTGGGTATTACTCATATGCTCTTTAGATGTAGAACAGAATCTAAATCACCTTTGTGGCCAACAGCCTATCACTGATGCATAATTAGGGAATGTTATATTTAGATTTCTGCAAAGCTAACTGCTGCTCTATAGACTTAACCTCCTCGTCAGGTACTATGGAATACTTTAGTTTTGTGACATGGAAATGCATACTTAAGTTTCTATCTGGCCAAGCCTGGCAGTTCCCATGCTGATGCAGTGCACAGGCTGAATATAAGTTTGGAGGAGGGGTTGTGTGACCACTGTACATCTTGAATGATGCCACAGACAGTATTTATTTACTGGTTCTGGAGAGGCTGCTGCATGGACACCATCTGGCACAGTACTACCTGGACATCTATAGCAAAACTAGTTCAGATAAAGAGTCTACAATAGTGTCTTGAAGATAAGCTATTATTCCAAGCTAACAAGCCATTAGGGATCACAGAGCTGTTTATATTAGGGGATTGGGATTTACCTTTTGAGCTGCTGAAGCTGTACTGTTCTTTATTTTAGGACGAAGAAATACTCACAGAAACCAGCCTGCACATTCAATTGTCACAGTCATCATTTGTACTTGGATCCCTTCCCCTTGTTTTTGTCTCCAAGTCAAGGACTAGTGTGTGCCTGGACATGGGATTTGAAGGAAATAGCAGCAGATTGCTAAAAATCTACGTTGGTGAAGGGGTGGATAGGAGCTAAGTACACGGCTGATTAGTCTCAGATATCTAATGAGGGCTTTTACCTGTTACCTGGTGTTAGTTTGCAGAAGATCAGGAGAAGCTCTCCAAACAGTTTCATTCTATCAAAATTGATGTTGTGAGCAGCTCTGTCCACTCTACATCCAGATACATGTCTGTTGCATGGAGAGCACCGTGAGGTCAAGCAGTGGTTGACATTCAGAGCTGTTCTGCTTCCTGCTGCAGCTGTGCTCCAGAGAAGCTACTGGAGGTACCAGAAATCCCAAGGATTTGGTGCAGCTGAGGTTAACAGTGCACTGTGGCCAGGCAGGGCTGTCAAAGCATCTGCATGGTGCCTTTGTCATATGCAGACTCTCATTTTGGTTGGAAGAATAGAGTTTGTAACCACTCTGTAGCTTACAGCTACTGGCAGAGCCACTTCATGGCATTCTGTGTCTGACTCCATTTAGGCAGCTGAATCCATAGGAGTTTGTCTGCTAAGGGCCTATGTGGATGTGGGTGGAGCTGAAGGCCAGGTTCAGCTGAGCTTATTTTCACGTGCAGACAGTGCTTGCTCAGCGTGGACAGGAAGCCCTGCATGGTGCAGTTCTGCTCATCTAGCAGGGTCCTGTCCTGGCCACACAGCTTTGGGCTGCTGCTACCCACAGTTTCATCTTGCTGCAGAGGTTAAGGACACTGCAGACCAAGCCTCTGCATAGCTGAAAGCAGCAAGAAGGCTTACAGAGATGGATGCTGGGTTGTGCTGGTTCACTCTCCCTCTCCACACCCACCCATTCTAGCTTCCCCATGTGCACAAACACTGTTCTCTCCTGCCTTGCTGCCCATGCAGTGTACAGCACAGCATTTCATGCATGGTCCAGGTACTGCGGTTCCAGCACTTCTCCTGGTCTGGGAACCAAGGGTTGCATAGAGCTGACAGAGTTTGCACCTTTCCTTTGCCTCTGAACTTTGAGTCCCAGCTCAGCTGCTGCTTTCAGGTGTAGCTGAAATATGGATGTGCAGAGAGCAGAGTGGTTGGAGGTACAGGATAGACAACCAAAATTGTCATGCAGGCAGTGCCCCTGTAGGAATGTTCTGGCATTGCTGCAAATATGTCTTGGAGATGCAGCACTAAGCATGCCACACAGCATAGCTGAGGAACAGATGTACACACAAAGAAAAGGGAAGTGAAAGCTCCAGTTCTCCCCTCTCTGACGCAGGTTGCAGACATGGCTTTACTCTATCCCACCTTTGGGGATTTATAGTAGGAAAGATCTTTGAATCCATCTCACAGTAGCTGACAGGGAGCTTTGACAGGGATTTTTTTCAAAAATCCCTAGCACAAATCAGCCTTTCATCTGCTTCTATGCATGGAGACATGCAGTAGTTATTTTATTTTTTCAATTCTTTGAAGTTTCCTCCTCACACCTAGTTAGATAGGACTATCAAGGCAGGAATGGGGCAGTCAGTGCTATGTATCCTAATGCACAGTGTGTTTCTGATCAGAGATTTATTTATTCCCGATAGAGACCTGTAGTGGGTAGGACAGAGAGAAAAAGATGAAAACTCAAAGGATCTGGCAGGAGGTCGTAAATTGGACGGCAGGCCACCAGAGCCTGGGGGACTGAATCTGTGAGGGAGCAGAAGAGATCACCAGCTGGGACTTTGGGACACAGAGCAGGAGGGAAAGGCAGGGAACGTGGGCTTGCTAGTCACTTCAGCGGCAGCATGAAGAGGGAGAGTGGGGGCTGCAGGGATATGTCACACTCGCTCTCTGAGCTGTTTGAGTTGAGGAAGTTGTCCGTGGCTGAGTTTCCTTTCCCTCTCTGTGCTATTGAAACAGGAAGCTGGTGAGCCGAAGCTGGCTGATCGTTGCACACAGACACACAGGCAGCTCTGGCAGCTCCTGTGCTGGCATTCAGGTTTCCTCCAGCTCCAGCGATGGATCAGTGCTGGTACCACGGCAACATCACTCGCTCTAGAGCTGAAGACCTGCTCTCCAAAGTAGGCAAGGACGGCAGCTTCCTTGTGCGGGCCAGTGAGTCAATTGCCTCAGCATATGCACTCTGCGTGCTGTAAGTACAGCGTTCACCGCGCCCTCAGCCCACACGCTGTCCCTGCTGGGCAGGGGTCACTCCTGCCTCCGCCCCAGCACAGAGGCAAACAGGTGCTGTACTCATTGGGAACGTGCAGCCCTCCTCAGAGCGCCGCTGGTTTCACCAGACTGGGCCATGGGGTGGGGAAGGGTTAGGAGCCAGGCTGAATAAATCCATAGTTTATGTACTGCTGTACTGCTCATGCTGCTCTTGCCCCTGATTCAAAAGGAGGGAATGGTCAAAGGCACTGCTGATGTGCTCTGACAGAAAATAACCTCTTGAACTTCTGGGGTGTCTTAACAACTTGGGTCAAATATTTATCTTTAGTGACCCCAGTCCCAAGCCTGAGACCTCCCAGGCACTTTTCTTGCTGAGCTCCCTGCTTGTACTGTGCTGCATTCAGCAAAAGGCTTGAAATAGTTCCTGGAGCTGTGCATGGTGTACCCACACAGCAGTGATTCCACCTGCATCATTAATGTGGCTCATGGGGTAAACGTTTCATGTGGGGAAGAGGAAGAGAAGTGCTGGCAG